TTTGTCATGATTTACTTTGGATGTTTTAAGCGCAAGTTATCGGGGCAATAAAGACACGGACAAACCGACACACGCTATGTACAGATTAGCATGGCGCCTTGCTGAGAAAAGCTTTCTTACAACTCTGTGTGAAAGTGTGTATTTCTCTTTGTGAACAGATACATGTAGTGTGGATGTTGAGATGTAACAGCAGGGGAAAGAAAAACAGATAGTTCTTCCCCCCACGCTACCGCTCTGTATCATCCTTATATAATACAGGTGGTGGACAAAGTAATAAACATCTGGACAATATACTGCAATCCAATACTACAAAGCACACACTAATACTACAGAGTTAAATACTATAACAGTGAAGAATCACAACCAATAAAAACGACCCTTCAACTGAAGGGCTTTTGCATTGGATGACATTGAATTATACAGGTGTTATTTTGTCCATCCCCTGTATGTTATAATATGAGTGATTTTTTGACAAACTAATTGTGGAAGAAAAACAAAAAACATTTAAAAATGTCAAAAGCATAAACAAATGAACTTAAAACACCATGGCAACCTGAGCAGAGTCACTGCAGCCGTCACGACACAGTACCAGTCATGCTGAGTCCCCTGTTACCTTGGCAACCCCAACAATGGCCACATGGACCATGTGTGCTGGTTTCTATGTGAGCACTCGCAGCAGTGTGTGTATGTGTGCGTATGCTTTACCTCTTGGGCCGCTCGTTGAGGCTGGTGCTTCGGGCACGAAACGCACTCTGCTCGTGACCGTCATCGAACGGCAGCAGGGCGTTGGAGCGCAGACCCTGGAGACACAGACAAAGGTGTAAATGTACAGATAGAAAGATACTAAACTAATGCAGCTTAAATAAGGGTCTGTTCAAAAGTTTGGGCCAAATAGTTGTGATTTTATGGGAGGTTACTGTATGTGTCAAGGCGGAGGGGCATTTTGGAGTCCCTGCTGCTTGTATCCTAAGCTAACTGCCTGCTAACAGTAGCTCCAAACACAACACACAGAATATAAACATTGTGATATAACCCTAGAAGAAAACAAATGAGCATATTTCCAGAAATATTGAACCATTCCTTTGATGTACGATCTCATTATGTCGACTAAAGTTTTAAAAAATTAGGAACTGAAGAATACGAATAAGTCCTTCCCTTAGGTATGAGAGTTAGAAAGTAAGATGTTTTTTTCAAGCGGGAAATTATTTAATTTTCTGAATGCTTGTGCACAAGTAAGAGCACTCTATTGACATCAATTTGTATGTGTTTTTTTGTATCTTTATATAAAAAAATATGCACATAAGTCAATAAAGTTAGGAAGATGAGTAAGCACACACCTTTGTGATGTACTGAACAAAGTCTTTGCGGAAGGGGAGTCTGCAGCGTATGAACCACATGGCGATCACATGGTGGGCCAGGGACACGATGTACTGGTTGAACCTGAGGAGAGTGGAAGAAACCAACTGGTCAGAGTGTGTCTGTGTCGCTTAAGAAGAAGTGTGTGTTTGTGTGTGTGTGAGCACTTACTTGGAAGGGTTAGTGTAGGGTAGAGAGATGGCAAACACGCTGACATACTGCTCAGCTACAAAGTTGGCGTACAGATGTGGGAGGCGCACCAGAGCTGTGAAACGGAACACCGAAATAACTCTTTATCTACAGAAAACTTTGATGTGACTAACTGGCCTCTACAATGGTAGAGAAACGTATGACAAAAGAAGTTGTGAGAAAAAAGCTTTTGGTACTCACTGGAGAGGAACTCGAGCATAGGTGATGCCATGGCAACAGTGGCAGAGATGTGGGTGAGCTTGACGATAAGAGCGGGGAGGAGCTTGATCATGATGTCAGGCATCTCCACCGTGCACATTGTAAGCGCCACCACACACTGCTTGGCACAGCGGTAGATGAGGCCGGTCTCGAGGCACTGAACCAGTTCTCTCTGTAGGGGGGAAAGGAAATAAATAACAGTATGGAAATATCTGCTTCTGTGTGTGCAGCGGGACTGGTAAATGGGACGCTGTTGCCTAGATGTGGATTTTCTGGCAGTCATTAAACCCAACACACAAGCTTCAGAACATGCTAGAAACCTGTTGAGATGTCTTGGTTATTCTCTAAACTACAGCATATCATTTGTACCTGTCTTGCCTGCTCCAGGTAGTTATGGTAGGAGGTGATCGCTGTGAGAACAGGAACCACCGCCAGCTGAACGTCAGTGCGAGAAAACCCGTCTGGGGTCTTCTTCAAACGCTCTGAGATCAGCCGATCTGTCACCTAACAGAACACAGACGCAAGTTCATTCATATGTTTACACTTTACAGACTTGTTTTACGTGTCTTTTTTGTTGCGCTACCATGCAGCAGAGTGTGGAGCACAGCTGGTCCAAGCTGCATGGGGATGTGAGCAGCAGCACTTTGTACTGCAGCGTCCACGGCAGCTTGTCCAGAATCAGCTTCAGCACCTTCCAATCGGTCTCCTGCAACAGAAGCAGAAACCATGTCTTTTTTCTCATAAAGGACAGCTTTGAAAACAATGTAACCATCAGTTATGAGTGAGTCTATGCTCTTGGCAAAGTCCTTTGTTACAAAGAAGAATAAACACTATAGCGAAACCCTCCTGCAAACTCTCCAAGAAATAGAGGGTTGTAGAAATGAGTCTCTAATCCAGGAATTAGTTGAATTTTTGCAATTCAGGTTTAACTCCCGATGGCATGGCCAACTGTGTGTGAATGTTAGGTCCTAGAGCAATTGGTACTGCTCTGTATGAATGGGTGAATGACATGTAGTATGTAAAGTGCTTTGAGGGGTCGTAACGACTGGATAAAGCACTATATAAGTACAGTCCATTTACCATTTAACGTCTATGACATAAAAAACAGCCGTAAATACCCCCTCGGGAATCTTGAAGTATTTAGCTGTCTTTGAAAAGGCCGTTGCGAACACGATGCTACATGAGAGTACGTAAGTTACCGGTGACCTTAAAGGTGATCACACCAAACAGCAGTCTGCATTCAGTTTATGAAGCCATGCAACCATTTTGCTTTTGACTTCTATACTTCAAAGAACATAGAAGTGGTGTTCATTTTGCAAAGATTATCATTCTGAACAAGAATTATAGACACTTTATAATCCTTTTTTAATCCAAATGTTTTTTTGTATGTTTAAGAAAAACCAGTGCGTGCTAGCTTCTGGGTAGGACTACAACAATACATCATCCCTGCACCAAGACTGCATTGGATGAGTTTGCTACAATACTTCTCTGTATACCATCTTCAGGCCCTGCAGGAGGACATTGAAGGCCGGTGCGTAGGGCAGGTAGGCCGAGCGGATGGAGGCTGTTGAAGCTGAAGGAGCAGTGGGGGGGGCAGGGCTGCCAGCAGGAGGAGATGTTGAACCTGCAGGCTTCTTCTCACTGACACGCTTCTCTGGCTCCCTGAAACCACCATTTAAAATCCTGTCAATACAGGATTTAGTTGACTGGATTATTATGAGAAAAACAGATGCAGATGTGAGCCGTGTGCGTCCTCACCCTGTGTCACAGTAGCAGTAAGGGCTAAACCTCAGGACCCCGTCTTTGTTGGGGACACCAAGGCGGTGAAGAGAGTCCACTCGCATCATCAGGAAGAAGTCAAACACCTGGAGGAGAGAAGGAAGTTCAAATGATACAGTAAGTCAACATGCATGTTTGTTTCAAAGGGAGTAAAGCAGACACAAGATGAACCCCCTTACCTGCAGTCTGATGCTGCAAGCGATAGCTGAGCAGTATTTGTTCTTGTAGTGGAGCTGCAGGTGGCCGATTAGCAGCTCATACACACGACTGGCGTGACTGGCTGGTAGGCTGTAGAGCTTGCTCTGCCAGGAGAGAACAACATGGTTATTTACCACATTCACTAAATTGAATTATCTTTTCAAACACAACACAGGAGAACATATTTTGGGCAAAACATTTGTTATCAGTTAAGGTTCAAAAGTATAACTTGAAAAACTTGATACTAATCAATAGTAAAGACATTTATTATGTGTTTTGTTTACTATCTACAAAGAATTAATAGCATCAGATTTTTATCAGGCAGACTCCATTCATATTTGTAAACATGGCTCAAATCTGAAACTACGGCCGTATCTCATTTCTGGGATTTCCCCTCCTCGACTCCTTGGTCCTCCGGTAGTGACCCGGAAATTAATTTCAGCGCGCCATGTTGAAGGACATCTCATTTTTCTAAATGCACACCGAGGACCGAGCATCGAGGAGGCTCTCTGGAGGAGCTCTAACCGAGGATACACTGATGGGTCCTCCACGGCTCCTCCGCGGATGTATTTCCGGCAACAGTGATGTTTCAAAGAGTCGTGACGCACGGCCGGACTTATCTCAACCAATGACAGCTCTGCATGCATCCCCTGGATATTATTTATTAAACTGCTTTCATCGTGATGTTTCCAGAGAGAACAGCTGTGAGGTCCGTGCAGAAAGCAGAGCAGTGTGTATAATATATATCACTCAGTATAACAGGCCTACTCTCTTTAATTGCTTTAGTTTAGTAGATATCTACAAACAAAGAGTCGATATTTTTTAAAACCATTTAGTGCTTCACATAATAAAATACACAACGGTAGCCTGATATGCTTTAGGAGCTGGCACTGCAAAAACTGCAAATCTAACCAAGTGTAATAATCTTATATTAAGATTATGAATCTAGTTTGTCTTGATTTGAGTTTAAATAGCTTATCTAGTGCTTTCTAAGGAAGATCTTTTGACTTAATTCAAGTAAATGTTACTTGCCTAGTCTTAATAAGCAACTTTGTCTTTATTTTAGTTATTTTTAACTAGATACAAGGGATCTGTCTATAAAACATCCACTTCAAGGCTATAAAGCCTTATTTTAAGCACTAGTATGGCAAGAAAAAAAAAATCTAATTTCAAGCATCAGCTCTGTGGTTAACATAAGTTATTTTCCCAGCTGGTATAAAGACAGTAAAAGACACAATTCAAACAAGAATAGTGAGGCTTAACATCTCTTTTAATGATAATCACAAAATAATCATCATAACACACTCTCCTAAAGGATATGGACCAGAATAACTGATGATATGCATAAGCAATACTGGATAAAGAATAATATATCTTAATTTCTGAGGTTGTGGTGCTTTTCATATATCACACCAAACTATCAAACAATCCATGCCACATTACACATTTAAACATGAACAGCTTAACACACCAAGTATGGCTGAGCGATATGGATAACAAAAATAAATATTACAATATATCTTTGACTCGAGATTGTAGGGGTGACTGTCAGTGCTTTCACACACACCAAGAGACCTTCATTTATCACCAGCTTAACAGCTCAATTCCATAACATCATTGAGGTTGTACTTAATTGGAACATATTGGTGGTCTTTAAAAGTAACTGCATAATAAGCTGTAAAATCAACTAGCTTCTCAACATCAACTACCTCTGTGGCTTGTGCAAGATCAGGGATGTCTACTTCATATGCAAGCAAATCTTTGCTGAAGCCCAAAGTGTCATAGGGCTGATATTCAAAGCAGTATAAATAAGTGTTCACCAGCCAGATATCTTTGATTAGCCCAAATACTGGTAGATGCTGGTCATTAAAACCACTGATTATCAATGACTTATGACTCGTATACTTGTTCCCATTAAGGATAAGCCACTTGAGTGACACAACAGTTTGCACGTCACAAGTACCAATGTAGTCTCTCAGTTTCGACAGTACATAGTCTGTGTTTACAACTTCAGATGTTGGGCCCAGTTCCTTCTCATTTGAAAAAACCGGGTGTTGCCTTCCATTCACATTGTGAGAGCATTCAAACCTCTGATTGTGCTGAACTAATGTCTTACAAATGTTCTTAAAATGTAATTTTGAAGCCCAGCGTTTAAAAAAAACCTATGTTTTGATTCAAATCTCATACACATGTGTCTAATCATAGGACCCAAAGCCATAATTTGTGAAGGAAGATGAAGCAAATAATGTTGTTTTGGTATAACGTTGTTTTCTGGGGAAAGCTGCTTAAATGATTTCAAATGCTGCTCTATCAATTCTTTAAGCCTTGCAACTGTTGTAAGTGAGATGACTGGTGCAAACAGGATCCGTGTTATCTCTACCAATTCAATGATGAACTGCACAAACAAACTCTCTTTGACGTCATTTAGCAAAAATGGCAATATTTTCAAAAGGATAAGCATTTGTCCTGAAGATTGTTTTAGTCTGTTATCATTTGAGGTCAATGTGGAAACAGTGATGGGACATGGTCTGTCTCTTAGATCATGAGGTGAGTAAGGGAAACAGACCATAGCTGAATTAAATGCATCCAGTTCTATCTGCCCACTAAGAATGAGATGTTTTAGCACACATTTGATCTCCATAGGGGCGACTCCTTCAAGAATAATATGCATAATATCTGTTGGGGTCTGCTCAATAAGATTGAAGCCAGGAAAATCACACAATCTACTTTTTCTGTTGATCCCATATGTTGTTTTTAAATTGTTCTTTACAAAATCTGTGCTGGCCCTCTCAATATCAGAACACTGGCGCAGATGTCGCTCTACTGTTCTTTTGTTGAAACATTTCTCATCAAAGTTATTTTTCATGTCATCTCACAATGCCTACATTTACAAAGAGCAAAACCAACACCCTCTTTAAAACCTGCAAACTCATGTTGAGCCAATGTATCCCCACAAAGGGAAACCACAGCACCATACATGATCCTCTCACCAACAGCTGTTTGGATTTTAACACCGTGGTACAACACATCTAAATCTTTTTTGATTCTATCTAAAATCACATCCACACCACACTGAGACAGCTCACTTGATTTTGCAATGGCTAGCAATCTAATTGCAGACAGATTTGATCTATACTTAGGATCTATATTTCCTAAAGTGTAATAAACCATTAACAGTTTGTTCTTTCTTGCATGTGCTCCAAGTGGATTGCATATTTCAATTTCGTCAGTATATAAAATTATCTGCAAAGCGGAATGTCTGACGGAGTACAGTGGGTGGTCCCTAAGAAGTTCACCATCAACTATATCATATAAAAAACCCTCTTTACACCTCTTAGGTATGGAGCTTATCATTGTGAATATCCGGGGATCAAAAAACAACTCCTCGAAGCTCTTGAATAATGGCACATAATAAAATGAGTTAGTTTTAATGGTAAGAGCTCTTGAAATTGTTTTCTTAGTTCTATATGCAGTTCGTGATATGACCACCTCCTCAGGCTCAACAGGGTTAAACAAATGCCGAATGCTACGGTCCTGTAGATGCGTAGATGAGACTTTTGAGAAGGGGTCTTTAAAGTCATCAAATACTGCTAGGACTGTTGTTTGGAGATTCTCCTCACTTCCAACATGGGTGTCAAAAGCATTCTTGATCTTGTCCCTGAGGTTGTCTAGAAGGGAGGCTTGGTACTGTTGCACATCTGAAACAACATTGTTGACATTCCCCTAGAACAAAAAAAAAAGGGTTTACATGTATGAATGACAAATGCATTATCCATCACATCGGTATTTTTAATTTTTCTTAAAAACTTATACCAGACAATATAGTTTTTTTTTATGTAACTGCAAGTACAGGATGTATTCAAGTTAATAAGTGCAAATACACATTATAATAAAAGAGAGGCAGAATTGTTTGTGCAGTACCTGAGATAAGTAGCATCTCTCACGGATATTTAGAGCAAATGCTGCAGAATGCCGGGACAGACTGTGGTCGTAGCAGAGGATGCCTCTCCCTAAAAACAACATGATTCAGTCAAACTTCAGTGAATACTGCTATTTAAAAAGTACAATATGTAATTGATTTGTAGTGGCTCCCGGTTTGCGTCAGTATATAGACAAAAAAAATACCCCAGTTATATGATGAATGCTATTTAATTGATCAAAGTTGAGGGCAATAGTATGGACTCCAGTCTTATGCACACAGAAAGATTCACAAATGCATTCATATATAAATGACTCCACATAATTATTTTTCAATGCACACACAAATAGTTATCTTTCTATCAATATTTAAAAAGAAATCCACTTAAAAAAAGGTTCACAAATGTATTCCTGATGCACACACAAATAGCCTATTTCTTGTTTTAAATAAATGTAATAGAAACCCACAAATATATGTATTTAAAAGTATTTGCATTTGCATCAAAAACATATTTGTATGTGATCACATTAGATATATTACACATATATATTATTATTATTATTATTAGGGTATAGTACACCCTCGAATAGACGTAGGTGATTGGCCGAAACGGAAGGAGACATCTGATTGGCAACAGATAATTCCCTGTTTTTATATGTGGATTTGTGTTACATATATATACACCGATAACTATTTAAGTGTGCATGGAAAATATTTGAGAGAGTCATGTATATATACATCTCTAAATACATTTGTGAATCCTTCTGTGTACATTCATTAATATTGAGACTGATCTGACTCAGCCATACCATATGTTTATATTTATTTCATTTAAGAAGGGACAATGCACATTAATTAACATGAGCATCCACATGTAACTGTGCCAGATATAGCCATAGAATCAAATGTTCCTCTGCAGTCCCTGGCCGGTTGGTGGCATTACAAGAAAACTTACAAGAGCATGTAAGCACAAATAAAAGCACATAGATAGATAGAATAGAACATAACATAAAGTTAAGATTATGCATTACATTATGCGTTTTCAAAAGGAGCTATAAGTAATATCAGTCAAGCAACATCCATAATAAAAACATGGAAACAGGGCAAGTACATTTTAGGCTATATATTGCTGTAATTTGTTAGAACAACTGTACTGTATAAGGTAAATGAATCTCACCATGTTTTCTGGATTCTCAATTTGCACCGGTTCCAGATTCCCGCCTTGATTTTCTGTGTCCTCTACTGGAATTTCGGCGCCTGTATGATTAGGCTCTTGTTGGGTATCCCGCCATCCATCCAAGCCTTCCTGCTGTGATGGTGTCACCCGCATGCCATCCAAGGTGATACAGCCACGAAAAATCGGAATATCATAATTGTCTTTGCCAAGCCTGGCTGAATCAACATGCAGGAAGGCTGGATGACTTGGTGGGCGACCACTGGCCACAAATGCCGTGTGTTTGCGTTTTAGGTGGTAGAAAAAAGAGTTGTATACTCTATAATCTGCTGCACAGCCATCTACCCCACAGGTGACATGGAAATTAGGACTTCTACCATGTCTTGAACTAATATGTCCAAGAAGCATTCTCAAAGACAAAGCCACGAATACTAGACATATAACACAACGCCAAATCATGATTAAATCTCACCAAGTTTGTACAAACTCAATATTTCGCAGGCTGGCACTATAACGATTGCTCTCAGTGGGGTGCTATGGTGGGGTGTGCGAATTTGGCGCCTGCTGCATTATTTCATTATGCGAAGACCCGCCCATACTCTGCTTCTCATTGGCCCTGAAAGAAGAAAACCCGGGAATGTGCAAGTGGTGTTTGTTATCTCTCATAAAGTCGGAAAATTAATAACTTTATTTACCATGTGTTTGTCAGAAGCTGGATCAATGACAATATCCACTAAAAGATGTAAATAACGAATGCCAGTACTATATTATTTACATCGAGAGATCCTCCTCAGTCCTCAGTGTTTACAAGTGGATGGCTGTTAGCAGGCCCGGACTGGCCATCGGGAGGACCGGGAGGTTTCCCGATGGCCTGGCCTGTTAAGTGGCCTGCTGGCCTGAGGATTTTATTTTAATGTATGTATTGTGAACGCAACGCTGCGCAAATGTGGGTCTGACCCCCAAAACACACCAGGAGCGTCTGCGTCGTGTTACGGCCGCGCCGCGGCGGTCGTAAGGATCGCGGCCACTCTAGTCAATGGGTGCTATTACACCACACGCGCCGCGTTACGGCTCAGACGCGTCCCAGAAGCCGCTCGGCGCAGCGCTTCTCTAAAATTAGGATGAATCCTATTTTTGCCGCGGCGCAGCCGTAAGGTAAACTCCTCCCCCCATCCCCCCGTAGTCTTTCAAGTAGGAGAATACATGCCAGCGTTCTCCTCCGGTTTACAGGCACTGTAAATTATATATATAGAATAATTATGATGATGAATGCATTTTTTTTTTACCACTAAAATACAGCAACACATCTTTGATTCATGTCGTTTATAACTGGAATATTACAATTATTATTAACTGTGTCTGTAGTCTACAACACAACAAAATAGGAAATAACAACAATAAACACGATTTAAACAGACACAAACATAAACCATTTAACTACGTATAGCCTACTTACTTGTAGAAGTACAAATGTCCAGGAAATATTCCAAAATCAACAACAACTGCGAGGCTGCACACACGACGCTCCGCTTCCGCAACGTTTTGAAACGCGTCTGGTGTGTGTTGACGCAGGAGGAGGTCGCAGCGTGGCTCAGCCGCAACGTAACGCGGCGCAGACGCTCCTGGTGTGTTTTGGGGGTGACTCTGCCTCACAGACAGTGCTGGAATTGGGCCGGTACTCACCGGTACGCAGTACCGGCACTTCTGGTTCTGACCCATGGAGTACCGGCACTTCTTGCTCAGTACCGGCATGCTGGCGGTACTCCGGTACTCATGCACCGTGCCAGTACTCAACACTCTCCCGCCGTTCTTATTATACATCCATATATATATATACAGCCGCCCGGTACTCAGTAGATGCGTCATGAGGTGCCGAACGGACATTCTCATCGCTCTAACCGCTGGAGTTTCACAGCGGCTGTCAGCTGTTTACTCCTGTCATTCAAACAGAACGTGCTGGAGAGGGGGCGAGGCTTATCTTCTCCATGTAAATACTGTGGTGGAAACGACTATGTCAAAATTAACCTATTTGACCGTGATTTAATAGTAATACACGTTTCAAAATAATAATAACAATAATGCCGAAGTAACAACATACTGAAAACTGTTAGTAAAACCATGTTTTAATGCTTTACAATTTACATACCTAGATGCACGTGTGTTGTGTTTATGCAGTGCAACTCCCACCCAGTGGGTGGCTATGTAGAGTGATAGAACAGAGCAGGCACGCCCCCGAGAGAAGGAAAGCAAGTCAAGTCACAAATTAGCATTTCTAAAATGTTAGCATGGATTAATAAAAGTGCAAAAAGACAGCGGTTGTCGCCGGAAGAAACTTCAAATACAGAGAATGCTGTGCCTGTGTTGGAAATTGTGTCTGATGGGGAGCTTTCTTTGGTTGATCCTCCTGCTCCAAGTTCTAGTGCATTAGCATTAGCACTAGCTCCGCCGCCTCCTCCAGAGCCTCTAACGTTAGCTGCTGCTGGCGCAACTGCCACCACCAACACCGGGCAAAGCGATGCACCTGACTGCTGGACAACGGACCAGGTGCAATATTTTTGCAAGACCAATGCATGGCTCCTTCTTAAAGATAAGAAGCTAGGATGTCGGATATGCAGAGATGTCAAATCTTTGGGAATACACACTGGACAAGGACTGAAACTGTCAACTGAATGGGGTGAGTGTGCAGTGTCTCATTTCGGTGTTGACAAGGGCAAACAACAAGCTAGCCTGAGAAAAAAAATCAAAGAACATAAAGAATCACAAGCCCATGTAAAAGCTGCTGACATCCTTACATCTGCTTCACGTGAAACTATTCAACATCAAGTGCAGTCTATGCATACATCTGAATTAGACACCACTATCAGAGTTTTTCGAACGGCATATAAAATTGGCAAACATAGCCGGCCATTCACAGACATGCCAATTGATTTGAATGTACAGAAACTGAATGGGCTGAACGTGGGCAGGGTTTTGCACTCCAATAAAACCTGTGGCGAAATCATCGACCACATAGCTCATGAGCTGAAGAAAAAAATGGCAAAAGACATTACAGAAAACCAAAGAAAACTCTGTGTTTTGGTCGATGAATCTACACTATTAGTGGTAAAACGGTGCTTGTTGTGTGTCTACGCTCAGCATTAGCTGATGCTGAGCCCGAAACGTTTTTTTGGGAGCTGATCGAGTTGGATGGAACAACGGCTGATGACATCACAAAGGCGTTAATGGAGTGTCTTGGAAGAGATTTTAGGTCAGTGTTTCGTTTCTTTTGCATGTGATGGGGCTTCAGTCATGCTAGGGAAGAGAACAGGCGTTGCTACCCAGTTGTGTAGTAAATTCCCAAGCCTGTTTGTGTGGCACTGCTCCAATCATCGTCTAGAGCTGGCAGTTGGGGATGTGGTCAAGGAGGTCTCAGGGCTCAATCATTTCCAGATCTTTTTTGACAAACTCTATTCCTTGTTCCATGCCTCCCCCAAAAATCAGAGGCAGTTAGCGCAGTGTGCGCAAGCAGTCGGACAGCGTCTCCTGGTGATAGGGCGTGTTTTGTCCATCCGCTGGGTGGCTTCAAGTGAAAGGAGCGTCAGAGCAGTCTGGGAAAACTACCGAGTGCTTCATGATCACTTCACAAATGCTGCAAACGACACGAGCAGGGATTCCAGAGACAGAGCAAAGTACAAGGGCCTGGATGATGTGCTCACATCTGCAACGTTTGTCAGCAATCTGGGACTGATGTACGATGCGCTCACAGAGCTCAGCGACCTCTCTCGGCAACTCCAAAAAAGAGAGATGACACTGCCTACAGCAGATAGGCTCTTAACTCGAGAAATACGAGTTTTTGAATCCATGGTCACCATGCCTGGCCCACACATGACTACAGTTCATACAGCTCTAGCTGAGAAGTCCTTCAAGGGTGTTGCCCTGCGTGAGAATGGCAGGCTTGTACAGATTCATGCAGGTTAGTTTTTCCGCAGTATGGTAGAGAATCTGAGACACAGAATGACTTCCACAACCTCCTCTCATGTCAGCACAAGAGAAATCCCATTACATGGCCGGGAGGCCCGGGACAATCAGCTTATCCAGGACATGAAAGTTATCCATCCTGGAAGTTGGCCTGAAGAGGAGTTAGACGTACAGTATGGGGACGTAGAGGTGCTACGTTTGTGCGAAGTGCTGAAGTGGACAGAAGAGAGACTGTTCAGGGCTTTCGCGAATACAAGGAAACCAGGGCATCCCGTACACCTGCTGCCATGGAGCCTCTACTGAAAGCAGTCCGAACCATCGCTGTCTCCACTAGTGAGTGTGAGCGGCCATTCAGCTGCATGAACGATATCCTTACTGCAAAAAGGAATGCTTTCTCTGTCAGCCGACTGTCCAGCCTGGTTTTCATTAAATGTAATGGACCATCACTAGGACAGTTCAATCCGGAACAGTATGTGAGGTCCTGGCTGGCAAAGGGAAGGAGAAGTGCTGATGAAAGAGCCTGTCCAGCTCCAGCCCCTGATACTGATGTCCCCAAGGCCTTCTGGAGCCTTTTCTAACAATGTGAAGTATATTGCAAAGCAGCTCACCCAGTGAGAAGACTTTTGGCATAATGTGCCGATTTGTACAGATCCTGGAGATAGAAGGACTTCAGACCAACCAGGGAGTTATCTGATCAGCTTGGTGTTCAATGTAACTCTTTACCATGGCTCAGACTTTGTTACTTGCAGTTACAGTTTCTCATTTTAGATTGTGCAAATTTTGCATTTGTTTTTACATGTTCTTTGTTCATGCTCTTTATCATATTTCTGAGTTGGAAAGTTAGATTGCATCATAGTTTACTTTATACATATTTGTATTCTTCAGTGGTGAAGTATATTGCAAAGCAGCTCAGCCATGTGAGAAGACTTTTGGCACTTTTTCGTTTTTCGTTTTCTGAGTTGGAAAGTTAGATTGCATTCAAAATATACAGAAATACTTAATTTTGTTAAAGCTTTTTATAAAAAATGCTTCTGACCAGAGCTTTGTTTCCTTGTCATTAATGTTGAACATCACCAGAGGGGCTCTCACCTGAAAGGTCTCTGCTTCATGTGTCTTCAGCAGAAGATCTAGACTTTGATTGCTATATTTTCAGTTAATATTGACCTTACTGAGCTTTAGCCATATCCGCTGCCTATCATAAAAAATGTTAAGTACAGTGAACCTTTCTAAAATATACAGTAGTAAAGAGACAAACCCACCAGCATTATAGTAGCCAAATTCTTGTTTGTGGGCTGTATATATAAAATTGACTTGAAAAAGTTGGTGATTTTAGAGTACTGGCACCTTTTTCATTCCAATTCAAGCACTGCTCACAGAGGGTGACTGGCTGTATACATGATGTGGCCTGCCGACATGGCCACTTTCATACAGATCATACTAATGCCCTCGATTGGTCTGTGTGTCATTCAAGCTCGGGAGGGTGTGTGTTAGTGTGGCGCGATAAAGCGTGCGCACCGGTTACGTGTATTGTTGTTAGCATCTGGTGCTAGCTAGCTGCGCTAATGGATATAAGGAGCTTTTTCAACAACAAGGTGGAGGAGAGTCCTCTCCTGTCAGACTGAGAGACTGATAACTACAGCTCAGGTGAGGTAAAGGACTCTCCGAGTGTTTAGATAGTTAACTTAGTCTAAGTTATCTCTGTGGGTCTCGAAGGGTTTGGTCACCATTTATGTAAACACATATTTCCATTTGAGGGGGGGAGTGATTGGTAAAATATGCATGAATAATACAAAAAAAATGTTAACTAGGTGAAAAAAGGTAAGATAAACTTGTTGAGAGCTAAAA